AAATTATATTACTTAGCACTCTCTTTGGTCTGCTTGGGTCACTGAGATTTCCTCTGGGTCAGGCTGCAGGTAGGGTGTCATCATATAAGGCAGAAAAGGTATCTTCTGTCCTCCAGCAAGTAACAATGTAGTGCCCAGTAATGATTCAATTTTATAATACAAATTTAGTTAAAAGGAACATTGTGTAAAGCAACATTTGTTTTTTTTTTACTCTATTTGTATTATACACTTGAATCATTTGCTCCCTGAGATCAGCCATTTAGCCTCAACATAGTGATGAGGTGGGGTCATCACTCAAAACAGTTCAGTGCCAGGCATACTGTACAGATGGTCCTACACACTTTTGCCACATTGTACAGTTGCCTAAAATGCCCTGACGTGAAAACAAAGAGCTGCACTGTATGTTTTCTATGGAAAGTGCAGACCCGCTGTTTGTCACGTTTGATTTTAAAAGGTTTGTTAAATGCATTAACGATTCTTTTGAAAAACTACAATGTTCATTCGAATATACAGTTTGTTATGAAAAGAACTGTGCATTTATAACTAGGGTTAGGTATCATTTGGGTTTTTTTCCGATACCGGTGCTAAATTGATACTTTTAAAACAGTACTGGTGCTAAAACAGTGCCTGAACCGATACATTTTAGCCACAAAAATTAATCGACCAAAAATAAAAATTTATATATATATATATATATATATATATATATATATATATATATATATATATATATATATATATATATATATATATATATATAAAATCATTCTAATTGTACAATATAAGTATATATTTATAATACGTTTAAAGAAAATATCAATTCATATTTTATATATTTGAATTGCACTCATATATTTATTTTGATCAGTTGTTTGTTAGCATAAATGCCAGATTTGCATTATGCTATTAACGTTACATTAGCTTACTACTAACTTGTGGAAAGGCTGTCATCAAAATCAGGGAACACCTTTTTTTCTGGGTTTGTGGCTTGTGACTACTTTGACATGGACATCAGTGATCTAATGATTTGCCTTAATCTGAATAGGACAATAATATGATTCAGGTGTTTACATGAACTGCTTTTGAATGTTACATTCATGATTCTCAGTTACAAGTTATAGCTCATTGATTAGTAACATCATTGTGTCACCAGCCTAATATTTACTCCGCAGTTTGTGTCTGTGGTCTTTTAAGATAATCAAAAATCACTGTTTACATATCAGAGTATTGTCTAAACCATATTAAAATCAGAGTATTGGTGTCCATGTAAATGTACTCAAATAATGTGCCAGATGATGTCACAAGCTGTCAAAGACAGTCCATTCCTCACCTTTAAGGTGATTCCATGAGCCCTTACATTTCATAAGTTTGACGTGTTTCTCTCTTACACGCAACTTTTGTAAAGTATCTGTTGCATGTTGGTGTGTTAGAATCCTTGCTTGTAAAATAGTTTGCTTTAGTTTAAGCAAATTAGATCAACGCAATTATGCGTATTGATGAAGTGAGTCGCTCGCCGCATGCGCCGTACTGCACGCTTTGCATTCAACATTTAGAGGTAGTATGACACAACGCTTACTTATGAGTGCCTTTAATGCACCCCTTTGTGCTTCTTAAGGGTGTCACACAGTAGATGCGCCACTCAGAGCCGTGGCATGGCGTGCACATGACAGTTGATAGTATCACACACCAGACGTGCACATTCGCATGTTATTTAACCCTCTTGTCGTGTTCGCATCCTACCCCTTACTTTAGTGTTCCCATTGACCGGTCTGTTTTAACTGCTCTTATATTAGCACAAAGATAATTTTTCTCCACCAAATTTTTATTTAACATTTTTTAGCTGTGAACAATGTCTCAAAGTAGTGTTTACATAAATTTACAGAATTAGACATAAAATAACTGCGATGAAAATAAAAATAGGCGCTGAAAATATATTACAAAATGAACAATAGATGACTGGAATCAAAATACTTTGTTTCATTACTAATAGACAGCTAACTAAGAAAACTATCACAGGGTCTGACCAAAGAAATTGAAATTTTAATCCATCTGAATGATTTATCAACCAGCAAAGCACGAACAAAATGCTGTCCTTTTCTGTGTTCTGAGAGATCAAATTTTCAGTCCTTCATGTATACTAATATAGGGAATAGTGACTGAGGCTATATATGGTAAGCATGACCACACAACTAGCTCTAGTTATACTTTAGCCATTTTTGAGCGAGATAATAATGGTCTAATATAATAAAATAATTGTTGCTAAACTAAAAGTGCTCCTGCTAGACTCAGAGATTGGCTGAACGAAAGAAAGAAAGGAAACAAGATTCCTTCTCTGTGTTTTTTCCAGAGAGAAAAATAAATAAATAAACAAAAAGAATAAAATAAGAAAATAAATATAGAAAGACACACACAGATGGATGCACATTACAGACACCTGTTTAGTCTGTGAAGATATGAACACTGTGTTATCAGGAAGTTGATTCATGTTAGAGGATCCAACACTTTAATAGCAATTCATAACTTATTGGTTTAGTAGTTAATCCATATGAATTTGTATGATCTCATTCATATAGTTTTGTACAATTTGCTTATCTCCTATGACGATTGGGTTTAGAGGTTGAGTTGGGTGCCATGCCTCCTTTTATAATTCATACAATTTTGTACGACTGAACTCATATGAATTAGCCACTGAACTGACAAAACGTAAAATAGTTATGTTTATTTGTGAGATCAGGCTGGAGGATCAGCACATAAGCGCGTAAAAGAGATGTGTACCTGCAAAAGACACTGTTCAGTCTGAAATGAGTGAGTGAGTGGGTGGGTGAGTGAGATGAGGTTGTGTGTGGGTGGATGTTTTCTGTCAGAAAATATAATCTGGATACCTATTTATTTCCTATGGCGGTCACTTTTGACCGGGAACACCACAGGTGTAACAAGGTTGATTTAAAACACTCAAAATTCAATGAAAGAGGTGCTCATCACTTTTATATGTTCAAGTGCATAGTGTGGAGGATTTCATAAGGCCATGAGGCTATCAGATGTAAAACACAATATTTATGAGTTATTTAAGTTGTAAATCGGTCAGATTTGACCCGAACACGACAGGAAGGTTAAAATGAAACTATTTAGATGCCGCTCTGTGGCATGGCAGAAATATGAATAGTCATGAGTCGTGCCTGGGCGCCGCGGACAGCCACTGACTTGCTAGTTCATGGCGTTGTGCGTCGCCGAGCTGCGCTTCTGGTGCGCAACCTGCTTACATTCTTGTTGCAGCACCGAAATTAGGCACCGAAATTCATATGCTGATTTGATCCGGTGCATACCGTTTCCAAAGGTATGGCACTGGGTTTCGATACCCAACCCAAGGGAATATAGGTCTATATATTCACCTTGCAATTTTGAAATCATAGCTTTTTTGCTTTGAGTATAGACTATTTAATTCATAAGAGCAGTTCAATCTTTTATGAAGTTTGCTGTATAAAAATATCACATTTTAAAATATTTATAATTATCAGCCTATATATATATATCGGCTATCTGCCTTTAAGTCTGAAGAGTTGTTGGTATCGGCAAAAAAATCCATATCTTCTATGTTAAGCGACTTTGACACAATTTACATTGTAAAAGCACTAGATAAATAAAGATTAATTTAATTGAATCTGCTTAAATGTGGACTAAACACAATATGATCTGATTTTTTTTTTACATTTAATGTGCATCAAAAATACAGTGTGTGTAGCCAATGTTTCCAGTGTCTTTTCACTTTTCAGCTTTTGATGAGAGTTTTTAAGACTTAATGAAAACTAATGTTTTATTTATTTATTTCAGACTTAATTGAAGAGAATAAGGAGAGTAAAGAGGAGGAACATCATATCAAAATTGAGGAAAAAACTAATTTACAGACTGATGGTATTTTGAAAAGGAGAGACAAGAATCGTTTAACCTGCACTCAGTGTGGAAAGAGTTTTGGAAAACAAAGCAATCTTAAAATTCACATGAGGATCCACACTGGAGAGAAACCATTTACATGCACTCAGTGTGGGAGGAGTTTTAACTGCTCATCACACCTTAAACTACACATGATGATTCACACTGGAGAGAAACCATTCACTTGCACTCAGTGTGGGAAGAGTTTCATCCGCTCATCATCCCTTAATCTACACATGAGGATCCACACTGGAGAGAAACCATTCACATGCACTCAGTGTGGGAAGAGTTTCAGCTACTCATCATACCTTAAACAACACATAAGAATCCACACTGGAGAGAAACCATTCGCATGCACCCTGTGTGGGAAGAGTTTCAGCTGCTCATCACACCTTTATCACCACATGAGGATCCACACTGGAGAGAAACCATTCTCATGTACTCAGTGTGGGAAGAGTTTCAGCCGCTCATCATCCCTTAATCAACACATGAGGATCCACACTGGAGAGAAACCATTCACATGCACTCAGTGTGGGAAGAGTTTCAGCCGTCCACCATACCTTAATTTACACATGATGAGCCACACTGGAGAGAAACCATTTACTTGCACTTAAGCCGCTGTCACACTGGACTTTTCTCCCCATAGACTTCCATTTATAAGCACACATATGCGTCATATCGGAAATGGAAAATCGTGTGTCAAGTTTCACAGTTCACTGCATTGCAAAGTTCAAGCTTGGTGAACTCTGACCTGCGTAATCGCATTGGTTGAGTGAGTGAGACCAATCGAAGATCAAAACATGACCTCTCTGGATAGAAATGTAAAATATGGACCAATCACTCACTTTTTTTTAAATGTCTAATCATCTTGTTTAATCCCGCCCCTTTTCGCAGTACCGTTCAACGGAATATCGCATGCATAAACTCTAGTGTGACCGCAGCTTCGTTGTGGGAAGAGTTTCAGTAACTCCTCAGACCTTAATAATACATAAAGACCCACACTGAAGAGAAACTATTCACATGCACTCAAGTGTGGGAAGAGTTTAAACCGATCAGCAAATCTTAATAAACACATGAAGATCCACACTGGTGTGAAAGACTATATGTGCTCTGAGTGTGAGAAGACTTTTATTACAAACTGCACAAGACGTTTCACATTGGAGAGACTGTACAAGTGTTCACACTGTGACAAGGTTTAATCAGTTAACACATCTGAAAACAGAAGAGGATTCTCTGGAGAGAAACTGTACAGATCTGATCAGTGTTTACAGAATTTTACTCATTTGGTTTAAAATGTTTGAAAAGGCTGAGTGATGATTTACTGTTTTCCAACACTCCTACACTGCAGTAGGTGGGGTTGTAAATGTTTTGCACTCATTGCGTTTACCCTGAACACAATGATGGCGGCTGAGAGAAGAACAGTTTCATAAACATCTGGCAAAGAGCACCTCTGCAGCTTAAAATCTCTTTGCAAGTGATTGTACAGGTGCGTATACATCTGTACTCCACTCTTCAGTCTATTCATGTAGCTGGTGTTGTTTTGGATGATGTTCTCTGTCTGACTCCCTGAATGAGAAACAAATCACTGGGAAGACACCCTACATCAAAGAAGGTGGAGCTCCAGGACGGTTGGTTTGCAGTATACCAAGGCTTTACGTTTAGAAAGTCCATTCAATTGTCCTTTGTTGCATCTTTTATTACTAAAGTTTCTTTACTTTTAGGTTTAAAGAAGTGGTCCAATATGATATCATATTTTAAACTTTAGTTGATGCTTAATGTAGCTCTGTGAACATAAACAACATCTCTGAATGTAAAAAGTTCTAAGTTCAATGCAAAGGGAGACCTTGGTTTTTACAGAGTTAGCTTAGCAAAGCCTACAATGAACGAATTTTGGGGACTACAAAAAATACTTCTGCCCCCTGTGAGATCACAAAAGTTCGTTACTGCGGATCCAAACTGAGCAGGTAAGGCCCTTGGCCAGAGGTGCTGTAACGTTATAGCAGAGATGAAGCTAAAAATGCGTCTAAACGCTGCTATTTCCACAGAGCTTCGTCCGTTTCTGTATTTAAGCTTCCAAAGGACATGACACAAAGACAGAAGTGCTTACAGTTCAATATGAATTATGTTCCAGAGAATTATAAAATACACAGCAAGCATGATTTGACAAAACAGCTCCAGAATCTCTCCCAGTTCAGTGCTAGATTTGGCTAAAATCTCCTCAAAGCAGAAGCTGTCAGGTACGACCAGTCAGTGTTTTTATTAGTTAAAATTGATCATGACATGTATAGTGTCTAGCGTTAACGGTATGCTGTAGCAACGATGTAATCAATGGGTAAAGCTGCTTTGCGGGCAAACGATTTAGCTACAAATTCATATTTATCAGTCAAACTGCTGTGAACACACACACTCCACCAGCACGTTCGTGTCTCTTATGTGCGTGCGCGTGCGCGACTGGCTGCACTGATTGTCCTCAGGCAGCTTTTCTATGCGTTACACATCTCAGATAATGAAGTCGCAAAAGATATGTGGATGATTCATATTACACCTGCATATTCCGGATACACGTAAAAGCCATCATGTTATGCGTTGAGTTTAAAAAATACAGTGCTAGCAGCAGAAAAATAAATCCAGGCTCAAACAGGTAGCATTCCACATCTTGTGCTTTATTCTTCTGCTTTATAACAGAAAATAACTTAATCCGAGCATCAGAGAAAAAGAAAGTCCCGCGCTTGTTACAGAAAGTTCACACACACACACACACACACACACAGACGCACACGCAAACGCTATTAAAGGAGCCGCACCCCATTTACATTTGTTACAGACAATTGTCAGATTTTATTTTAGAGAGCAGGCAGGAGGTTGACTGAGGTTTACACAGCAGAAAAGTGTTTGCTTTTATGGGCGTGACGTGGAGCTGATTCGCCAATCGCAGCACATTATATTGATGACCAATCAGAGTCACTTAAAGGCGGGCCTTTCAGAGGAACAAGGAAATTTGACAGTCGTTTTCATGTTAGCTGAGTAGCTGTGTAATTAAAGTGAGATATATAAAAAAATAACATGATTTCCTTTAAGTGAAACATGAGCACACATTGCTTTGCATCTTATAAACACAACCAAGCCTTAAAATTACATTGTGGACCACCCCTTTAATGGCTGGAGTGAGTGTTAACGTTTCTAATTTGCTTATGTTTTGCTGTGGATATATGAATGGTCTCGTTAAAAAGTTATTGTTCTAAATCATAATTGGTGCATTGGTGGTAATAGTCAAATGCAAGCATTCCCAAATTACTGTCAGAATTTTATTTAAAAAAAATAAAATAAACATAAAAAAACTTTTGTTTTGTTGACCTGTTGGTTGAGGCTAATACAATTACTCCTGTTTTCCAATGTACACATAGGCCGGTATAAGATTCTGGTATGATAACCTTGAATAAAAAAAAAAAATCAGTTTCTCAATATTGTGATTACTGCTCTAAAATATATTCTCTTTAAATGTATGGATAAAAACCTTTTCCCTTTTGAGCATGATATATATTTTATTTTGAGAAACATTTAAAAGTTTTTTGGAATAGTAAAGATGGTAATAGTAAAGAATAAAAATGAATTATTGACTTCTGATTTCTTTATTAGCTTCGGAAACTTCTTTACATTTTAAAATGGCATCTTTGTATATCTTTTGTGCTGGAGATACTGTTGTCCTAAAAAAAAAAATTGTAATAAAAAACAAAGGAAAAAAAAAACTTTACATATACTGTAGGATCGATATGGCAAAAACCTTTGGCAGTTTAAAACCTTGACTTTTCCAAACTGCGGTATACATTGAAAATGGTTATTGTCCCTTGTCTATTTAATTGTATTGAAACATTAATGTGTGTATAACTATGTAAACCAAACTCTAACACACATTTTAATTTCTACTATTGTGTGTGTGTGTGTGTATATATATATATATATATATATATATATATATATATATATATATATATATAAACCATTAGACTAGAACAGACAATGTGTTTATGTGTTAGAGTTAGGTTTACATGGCATTTATTCATTTACTGGATTTTGCATTTTTTAGAATAACGCCACAAAATAATTTTAAGTTAATTTACCATTTTAAATAACTGTGTCGTAGATGATCATAAATGCAATGGAGAATATTTGAGGTATGACTGAATCAAGGGAAATGGTAATATGTGTGGCACATAATAAATGGATTTGAGTTTCTGTGGTGTCAGAGCGCCATCTGCTGGTTGATGTCAGTAGCGGAAAGTGTTGCTTTCAGTTTCACTTTCATTTGGAAATTAACAGCGTTAAAGGGTTTTGTTAATAGTTTAGATAATTCCATCAAGGGTAATACCCTGTAAGCACAATTTTTGTTAACTGATTTGATAAATGTAACGATTTATTCTGTTAAAGAATAGTTTTGTTTGTATAGCTGCTCATTCATGATGGCTGATTTCATCAGGAGAGCATTATTATGTGCTAAAACACACTGCTCAAGATTTGTATGAGAGAGTCAAAGAGATTTCTTATTCACTGTTTTACAAAAAAAGAATCAAGACAAAAGAAGACAGATCTTCAAACTGCATCTGCGGTTCTTTATGCTTTTATGTTGCTGACTGAACAGTCAGGCAGCCAGTGTTAGTGAGGCCAGTACAAACGTTTTTTTTTTTTTTTTTTTTTTTTTTTTAATAATTGTCGTTTTAAATGTCTTTTATTCTTGTGATTCAAAGCTGCATTTTTAGCATGGAGAGCTGCTGTTTTTCTATGATCAGATGTTATTGGTACAAAATTACTAAAAATGATTCTTACAATTATTAAAAAGAAAGTTCAAAGTAATCATTTGTTTAACATTGCAATATTTTTTAACATTGTACATGTATTAATAATGTTTAAAGTATTGCAAACTATTTAGAAACTTATTATTTTGAACTTTCATTTTTATCATTTTCACAAAACACACATGGAGATTTAAAATTCAATGTAAGAGATTTAACAAACAGCTTTATTACAGAAATTAAACTAAATAAATTACAGTAAAAGCAACTTAGTTACTGAATTGTTCATTTAAATTTACTTAAATTCATTAAAAATCCTGGATGATATTATTAGAAATAGAGAGATTATTCAGAATGATGGAGTAACAGCCATCTTTATTTTAAGCAGAAAAAGTTATTCTCAGTTTATCTAAAACCAGTAAAGTTTGGCCATGAATTAAATTGACTTGAAGCTCTTTAGTTGACTAAGAAGTTCTACAGTAAACTGCTGAATACACCTTTTTAAGTTCACAGCTGTCACAGTCAGACCAGGTACTCCACCCTTCCTGATTCCTCATCTAGTCATCGTCCTGTTCGTCTTTGTTTCTGTTCCAAGACCCACCACTGCAACAAAAATAACCCACCACTGCACCCACAATAACCCAGCACTGCAGGGGGTAGCACTGTAAAACAGCATGGTGGTCTTGCACCCATTTGTTCAAGACTTTGAAACTCTTGAAACACATGGTGTATACATTGAAGAGTTAGGAGATTGTGTAAAAGGAAGTGTATTGTCATCTGATAATCTAGGTGCTCATTCAATTTGCAGGACTACGGGAGATTTCCACTGTTAAACACACATGTCGATTTTGAATTGCCAGGAGGTGTGAAATCCAGAAAAAGGGGGTCCAGTCAGGATCATTCAAATTGAGAACCAAAGAGGAACATGTCAGGCAAATTGCTGAAGTGGTGCATGATGATGTTTTTAGTGAACAGTTGGAAAAAAGTATGTTAGAAAAAAATACAGACTGGAATGTATTTTTAACAGAAATATTCTGTAAACTGAATTTATGAATGTTAAAAACAGCAGATTACTGGCAACCACAGCTGCCGGTATTTTTCCGTAAAATCAAGAAAGGAAAAATAAAACAGCAAAATGTTTTTTGTGTCACTATTGTGGAGGATAGTAGTGTCTGTGTTCAAGTACAAGATGACCTGAAAGTATTTGATGTTATGCTGCATCTTCTTTTGTTTAAAGGTAACTGTGTAGTTACTAATGCAGTCAAAATCTGGTCGCTAACTGCAATCATACATGAACATATTAATACATCTAATGACTTTACACTTTTGTGCACTAAGCTACGATTTTGTAAACTGAACATTGTATCAGTTCATGAAATATGGTTATTTTTTGTGAATGTATACAGAAAAATTCTGGCAAGCACAGCTGCTGGTATTTTTAGTAAATTTAACAGATATTTTACACAATAAGTTTGCTAATTAACACTCTCTTGGTGTTAATAATTTTAACACTTTCAAAAGGGTTATTTTTAACACTTTTATAGTGGTTCCTAAATAAACTCTGAGGGAGTGTTCATTTTAACTCCAAGGTAGTTAAATCTACTATCTAAAATTTGCAGTGTGTCTACTAAAATGCACAACATATTAGTTTGTTTATTGTCAACATTATTGTTAACAGTGTTTGCTTTACAAGGGAACTTTTCATTCACTGAGTCACTATGGTTACTTCTAATGTTTGAGGGAAGTGCATTTATTTTGAACTTTGATCAAAACTGACTGGAATTACCTGTGCATTCAGTTCATACAATATATAATATTATATATAAATATTATAATATAATGCATATTAAATTAGGGAGTAATTTACGCAGTAGGTAGTTCTGTTGCCTCACAGCAAGAAAGCCGCTGGTTCGAGCCTCGGCTGGGTCAGTTGGCATTTCTGTGCAAAGTGTGCATGTTCTCCCTGCGTTCGCGTAGGTTTTTTTCTGGGTGCTCCAGTTTCCCCCAAAAGTCCAAAGGGTGTTTTGCTGTCAGATGGAGGTTAGTCTAAATATTCCTTTTTTCTTTTCTTTTCTCTGACAGGTTACATCAAAAATAAATATAATGTTGAAGCCAGCTAAATAAGGAAGGCCTTCTCCCAAAAATGCGCTGATGAGTGCAAAATGACAAAAAGACACCACAATAAAGTGTAACTTTTTTTTAGAACTTTGTGTGTGAATATTTTTTATCTGTAAATATAAAAGAAAACTGAATTAAAAAATGAACAATGTTCAAACAACAGGACATCATATTGTTGCCCCCTTTAAAATCAATATTATGAAAGGTTTGTGCACTAATGCTGTTCTCTAATATAGGTTGCACAATTATTAAGGTGTCAAGGTTTTCGAAAGACAGTCACAGATACAAAAGAAAAGTCTACATTTAGGATTCCATAACAATTCCATTAAATACTTGTCCTTTAAGTCATATTAGACAATCTAATGGATTCCTTTAGGTTTTAAGGTTTGAAAAACATATATAAATTCTAAATGGAATCCTACGCAGAAATCCTATTAGAATTTTTATCATGTTTTAGAAACTTTCCTAAAGGATTCCAACAGGATTTCTGTATAGGATTCCTTTTAGAACTCCAGTTGGAATACAATACAGAAATCCTATTGGAATCCTTAAGGAAAGGCTCCAAAATATGATAAAAATTCTAATTGGATTCCTATAAAGAAATCCTGTTGGAATCCTTAAGGATTTTTTTGACAAGGGTGTGAGGTTTGTTTCCTGTTTTTCTGCTGCTAGATTGTTTGTAAAAAGTGCAGGAGCTTGACCAACATTAATTTCTTACAGCCTATGGTCTAATTAATACAACAACTATGTGGTTAAATAAAAAATATTGAAAATGTTGATGTCTCAAAGGCACTTTATGGAGTTAATGACCCTAAAAAAATGGTCCTAAATGTGTTAGGTTAAAGGTTTTTACTAACTTCAAATACTGAAAATATGTGTCTGTGTGTGTGTGAGAGAGAGCAAGTGTAAAGTTAAAAACGAAGAAGAAAAATATCAATAAGTCATGGCTGCAACAGTAAGTGGCAAAAAAGCTAAACAAAAAAGACTTTTATTTTGGCATGTCGTGTGACGTCATAAGGCTGCGCCGCTCTTGCGCTAAATTCAGCTGGAGAAAGGTTTGTTTTAAAACGTTTACACAAACATATAGCGATTGATTAAAGTTTCAGGTTTTTCATCTGATGCTAAATTATGTACCTGCTGTTGACATTATTTTGACCCTTTATGTAACGAAGTACTATTTTACTTACAGTAATTAGGGCTTTTGTTAGAACAAAGCAACAGAAATGTGAGTAATAAGTGTTTAATGAAGGTTTAATTTATTAAATAGCATAATGTCATTCCATCCCAAGTATACATCATCACTATATATATATATATATATATATATATATATATATATATATATATATATATATATATATATATATATATATGAAATTTGAGTACTAGTTCTAATCAGCTCATTGTTTCTATCTCGAACTTACCTGATTTCTTTTGTTAATCACTTTTATTTAAAGAAACTGTTGAAGCAAGTGTTGACGAGAAATTATTTTGTTTCTGTTCATTGTTTTCTTAATTTTAATCAGAACATTTTTTGTTTTGTTAATTTTAAACAGGATAAAGTGTCAAAACGCAGAGAGAAACTCCTGCTGAAGCGACTGATCTCCACACTGTTATAAAGATGGCGTTTATTAAAGAGGAGAGTGAAGATGTGAAGATTGAAGAAACATTCACAGTCAAACAGGAAGATCTGCAGGAACAAACAGGTTGGTTTTCATTCTCAAAGACCAACTCAGTCATTTGATCATAGAGGTAAAGTTGGTTTTATATTCACACATTCAGACTTTCCCCTTAATAATATAATTTCATAAAAGTGTTATTTGCAAACTCTAAATAGCGAAATCATATTAGCAACAAATGACTATCAAAGTATAACATTGTTCACAGTCAAATAAACAGTGTTAATGTTGTTTTCAAGCCATACTTGCATGCTTATTCCGATCAAATATTCAAAGTAACATGGTAAACAATATAGAGACTTCTAAATGAACGAATGTGCAAATATAAAACCAACTTTACCTCTGTCATTTGATACTCCTTCAGATATTTTAATAATATGAATAGTAAATTAAATCCATCTTGCAGCCCTGAGTGTGCTGCCTAGTTCTCCTAAATACACATAAGCACTCATTGAAAGAGGAATGAGTTTCATTTGTTTCTTGTTCTCGTGTCTTTTGTCATTATTTTATGTATTATTAGTCTCCCATTATCTCTACCTCCTTAAGGTTATTGCTTTTCTTGTTCTTCTGTTTGTAAAGCGTCATTGACAATGGCTCTATATAAAATAAATAAAAACAATAAATTTAAAAAAGGTTTAACTCAGTTGACGATATTATTATTATAATTAATTACCAGAGCTATTGTGTTTAAGCAGGGTTTCTGTGGCGTCTTAAAATGTCTTAAATTCCAAAATCAAAAATTTAGGCCTTAAAAAGTCTTAAATTTAGTGAAATATTGTGCTGTAGGTCTTAAATCTTTATAAACAAGCCTTCATTTTCGTTTGTTCGTGTTTTGTTACCCAATCTGGTCAAAACCCATACAATCACCAACAATTCATCTCAATAAAACTTTCAACTTTTTAATTAAAAAAGGACATTTTAACTCTGTTTATCATAATGGTAAGGACTGCTGAGGACATCGACCTGGGGTCTGTTCTTTGTAGCTCGCTTAAATGATCTAAGATAATTTGGCAGATCCCGGATCTTTTAATATTGATAACTGATCTCTCGCTAATTTAGTTCTTCAAACAATCTTGTGAATCAGATTAAAATGTCTGAATGAACTGATCTGAGATCACTGCTGGTGTTGTGAAGGACAGATCTATCGATCCTCGAAATCATGATCAGCAATGCAACGATTGGCTGACGGCACAGCAGCGTAATGACATCATCTGATTAATATTCAATTATCCATGTGAGCAAAATTACATAAAATTAGTTGTAAACGGTTTGTTAAATATGACACGCAATAACTTTCCACCTTGTTGTGGGCTGCATGCTTGGCCCTTTCATGTGTCAAGAGCAATTTATTTAGTTTTACAGTTAGAGCAGATTTTCACTATTATAGTTAGTGTTATTGTAGTATTAGTGTATTGTATTGGTGTAAATAACTGGATGTTTACAAAAGCATTTTGATATTGGTAAAGGCGTGTGCAACTTTTGTGAAGCATCAAATTACCATCATATTGAATGTCAAAACATGTTTATGACTGCATAAATGTATTATTGCTTTAAAAAAGTCACATATTGTGCATGTCTATTATCATACACAAATTGTACTAAAGCGATGTAAAAAGTTTTCTCTTTGCACCACCAGGTGGCAGTCTATATATATAATATAATATAATATAATATAATATAATATAATATAATATAATATAATATAATAAATATACACACACACACACACATAACTTTATTTTATTAATCACTATAACTTTATATATATATATATATATATATATATATATATATATATATATATATATATTTATATTTATATTTAAAAAATGTGTACTATTTTCCCAGGTGTATATAACTACTACTGTAAGAAAATAGCAGAACTCGGTACATGCTTTCTGTATTATCTTTGCTTGAACTGACCCATACTAATCCTGTTTATATGACTTGAACCTGCTCCCGACCAGGTTTGAGGTTCCAGTATGAGCATAAAAAAAATGTTTGTAATAAGAGATCATATGATGATGAAAATGTGTGTGAATGGACAAACCAGCCGGCTGAGCACACTGTAAAACATCTGAAATGATGTTTTGGTCATTCAAAATGCCTTTACCGTTTTAGCATTAATGTTATTAAATTATTAATGACCTTCAGAGCGTTTGGAGGGCAGCCCATCACTGGAAAACATCCACACACACCCAATTCACCTATACAGCTTGTCTTTGATCTTGTGGGGGAAACCAGAGCACCCAGAGGAAACCCATGCAAGTGCAGGGAGAACATGCAAACTCCACACAGAAATGCCAACTGACCCAGCTGAGGCTCGAACCAGCAACCTTCTCTCTGTGAGGTGACAGCACTACCTACTGCTCCACCTCGTCACCCGGAAACACTGATTTATTTGCATATTTTTTATGCAATATTCCAGTTTTGCACATACATTTTATTAACATTTTTGGATCGAAACAGCTACTTCCTACATTTCAGTCAGACAAAAAACAAAGTCCTGTTCGAGAATGGCTCGTTCTTCTTAAATGAATAATTAGCTTAAATTCAAAGACCTTCGACAGGGACATGTACTGTAACTAGATTAATAGGATCATTACTCATTATTTCTACGTGATTAGCTGACTGGTACATTTCTTGTGGCACTGTACCAAAAATTGAGGTGAAAGGATTAGGATACATATCTGTATTACATATAGATGAAAATGATCTAAAAATATTGGTCTAAAATCTATGTAATCTAGGGCATCCCCAGAACATATGACTCAGATCTGCTGCCTCCAAACTTTATCTGGGACAAGATACCCCTTTGATATGGGTTCATATTTACCAATTCATCTATCCAGCATGCTTCTGGTTGGTTCAGTGAAGGAGAGAAGTGTTTTTTTTAATGAAACTATGGACCTAAAGGTACCTGAAAAGATAAGACTGGGGAATCTCAATGTCTGTTCTTAACTGTTGAAATGAGATAAATATGCCATCTTTAAACAGGTCCTTAACACAGTTAACTCCCTTTCTAGACCATCATTGGGATACTGAATCTATAAGAGAAGGAGGGATTAGCAGATTTAACAAAATGGGAGCAGAAGGCAATGCTTATTTATTATTAAAGTGAGGTCTGAATTGTAACCATATTCTGAGTAATCCATTTATAACTAGGTTATTCATAGAATATTGTTTACTCACTGGAATCGGAGCACAAAGAAGTGAACATAAAGACACTGGATTAGACGTGTGCTGTTCCATCAGTAACCAAAGTGAGGCCTCATCATTACAGATGATGGAAAACCAGAATATCAGTTTGTGTAAATTGGCTGCCCAATAGTAGTATAAAAAATTGGCACTGCCAATCCACCCTCTTCCTTTTTCTTTCCAAGAATTCCTTTCTTATGCGAGGAATTTTTTTCATCCCAGAGAAATGTAGAAATACAATTTTTCAACTCCATGATTAAAATGACTTGGGAATAAAAACAGGCACGGCCTGAAATAGAAACAGAAATCTTGGTAGTATTGTCATTTTAATGGAATTCATCCATTTTAGGTGAATAAATATTATTAAATAGCGACAAAGGTTGTGAGATAACTGTCTCCCAGAAATAAGAACAGTTAGATATGGGTGAATTATCTTTTCCATGACTTAACTCCACTCTTGATTGTCAGCACTTCAGCCAGGATCTTATAATCACCACAGAGTAAGCTGATGATAAGATTCACATATAAGTGGATCCTTATCCTTTTTAAGAAGTAGTGTTATAAACGCTGATGTCATGGAGGGGGGGGGGGGGGGGGGGGTGATTCCGAGACTAGAGCTTCAGCAAATACCTTGCACAACAGGGGTGTTAGCTTGGCAGTAAACGTCTTGTAAAACTCGGCCGGAAGCCATCAGGGCCTGGTGCTTTTCTGGTTTTAAATTTTTTGATTGCATTTTCAATTTTAGAAGGTGTTATATTTCCTTCTAATGTCAACTGATCTGAATCAGAGGGATGGTAATCTCTAATAATTAAAGCTCTCAATAAGCTGAATTTTGTTTACCTCAGAGCTGCAAAGAGTTTTATAGAAGTTTTTTAATTTATCCCTAATTCCCTGTTAATCAGTAATAATAATAGTAGTAGTAGTAGTAGTAGTAGTAAAACTTTATTGTCCTTGACAGGAGATTTGTTTTGGCCATCGCCATATTGCTGCAGACACTCACTAAAACAAGCAATAAAAAACAGTAGAAAATACAACAATTACAAAATTTATGGTGCCAATTAAGATATACTCTTATTAAGTAAACCCACTGACACAGGTACAAAGGATTTCTTGTAGCGGTTTAACCTACACTTTGGGACTCTATATCTTCTACCAGAGGGAAGCAGTTCGTACTGGGGAAACAAAAAATGAGTTGGATCCTTTACAATCCTATCCACCTGATTGAGGACACAGTTCTCATATAAAACTTGAGGATTAAAATTTTCATTGTGCCCTAAAATTTTCCATGCTGTCTTTAAGAGATGCATCAGTTTAGATTTACACTGAACAGAAAGGTTGCCAAACCACACTGTAATGCCATACCTGACAATGCTTTCAAGAACTGCTTTATAAAACAGCATCATGAGCTTCTTGTTGACTCCAAAAAGACGCAACCTCCGTAAAAAATACAATCTCTGGTGTAAACGAGAACAAACCCAATCACTGTGTGTTTTCCATGTGAAAGAACTGTGGATATGAATGCCCAAGTACTTATAGGTATCTGACTGAGTAATAGGATCATCATGTACAACCACTTGACGATGGTCACCTATGCACTTTGGGTCAAATACCATCTCTTCTGTTTTCTTAGTATTTATTTTTAGCTTATTTCTATCACACCAATCAATGAACTGACTAATTTCTGACTGATATATAACCCCAATATCATCCTTCTCATAAAGTAAACTTAAAATGGCTGTGTCATCAGAGTATTTAAAAATAAAATTCTGTGAATGCTTACTTATACATTCATTTGTAAAAAGTGTAAAAAGAATAGGTGAACTGACACA